CAACTTGTCTGTTCCCCTTCCCTGACTCCCCAACACTGTTCCCCTCCCCCAATTCCCCAATTTAAAAAAAAGCGGACATTTAAAGACTTAGCGATAGATAACGGTACTGTATTATAAACTTCCAAGTTGCTATATGGAGTGATCATATTGCAATATATAAATGTGTGAAATCAACATATTATATACCTTAAACTTACACAGTGTTATATTATTATCTGTCAATTATATCTCAATAAAAAAATTTTTTTAAAGAAAAATAAATAGACTTTGCAAAGTATTATCCAAGCCACATCAAATCAAATGATGTCAACTGATACCTGTCAGTTTGAGAAGACATTACAGAAACTTACATGTCTAAATTAAAGGAAAATTTCCACAATAATAGTTTCTTTATTTAAACACAGAGATTTAAGTCTGTCAGGTGTGCTGAGCTAATTTTTCAAACTTGTTCCTAGGTTAGACCATTAGAACAGAACATAAATAGTACTATGCTACAATAAAACTTAAAATTATATTTTATATTTATATTAAGCTCTACTAAAAACAAGTAGTAAAAACAGGTGTCAATGAAAAAAAATTTGTTTTCCTTTAGACACATCAGTTGGAGAAAAGGGGAGAAAATGTAACATTTGAAAAAAAACTATCATCAAATTTCAAAGGATATCAAATTTCCTTCAATTGGCACTAAGTATGACACCAAAAACTAAGTCACACAATTCTTACATTACTGGGAAATCCTTTCAGGCTGGAATTTAGCATTGAAATGTAAGACATCACAAATACCAACAGAGGAGCCTGCCTGCATTTAAATAAAAGAAGAAGAAAACCCATCTTTTTCATATTCACCATCTCCACATTTTTCAAAAGAAAAGTAATTTTCTTACTTTCAAATGCATTTAGTAACCAGAAGTACTTTAATACTTTTGGATAATTCAAGTGGAAAGAGTCGGCTAAGAAAATCAATAATGTATTATACTTAAGAATGAAGGGGGAACACTGGGTGCTTAAGAGAACAAATGCTTCTCCATCTTTTCCGGAGCCTTCACTTACAAATACTGTGACTTCAAGCGACAGCGAACAATATGCAGTCATTATAGTGGAACCCTACATTTGATAAGAAATCTTACCAGATTTACCCTTTCTCCTCTTACATGATCTCACTTCATTGTCATAACGGCCATGTGAGAGAAGTTCTATTAGCTTCTATTACATGAGGAGGTACACAGGATATGTGAAGTCCATCTATCCCATTTGTTGTGGAAACTAAAGCTCCAAGACCAGTCATTTGAATGCTGCCCAATACATGCTATGGGAAACATTTCAGGAAAGCCATATAACAGGAAATTCACCATCACTGCACTAACTTCTTGTCATTTTTAGCTTACCTAGTTTCATCGAT